CGGAAAAGATGGTATACCGCAAACAAAAGGTGCAAAAATGAGTACACCATATCCGGATTTCGACAATTAATGTCTCTTCAGTGATGGTAGGGATCGAAACAGTATTTGGAAGGCCATAAAATTTACCTCAATTTAGGATAGACTCTTGAATTTTAAAGAGTCGAAATAGGATGAACGGATCATATAAACCCGAAGGAAAATATAATACAAGCCCAAACGAAAAAATATAAACAAGTCATATATATATATATATCAAGTGGTGATAGCCGTATAACATATTGATATTGTGTATTTACATTATCCGCCGAGTGTTTGGGGGTGTGCCATGTTTTGAAAAAAATCGTTTACAGATTACAGATAGTTGAAAAGAGGAAAAGAAATATAAAGGTTCATAGAAAACAATATCAATAAATTTAGTTGGCTGTTGAGCCTGGTATGCCAGCTATCTTATTTTGTTGCTCTACAATACTATTAACAGATAAAATAAGCTAATATGTCTTAAATTTTAAACAAATTAATGTTATTCAGAATGAGCTTTGTATACAGTTAAAAAAGCAATTAAAACTGTTAAAAGTGTTATATGACTAATAGACATTTGCAGAAACTAGGTCTATACCTAGGATTATACTTAGACTGACGATTACAGTTGACGAAAGACAAGGGGTAATCTCAAAATTTAAAAAAAGCAACACTAGAGATACACAGTCTAGCCAAATGATTTTTTTTGGGGTTATGTATATAAATCTTTTCGACGACACACTAATGCAGCGCAAATGGTCATGACAGATTTGAATCGCTGTATTGGATGTCACCTAAAAATCCCCATAACTTTATATTTTTTTAATTCTCCGATGGCGTGTTCAACGTTTATTCTATGGTTTGTTATAAGTCTATTTAATTGTCTTCACTTCCTCTACATATTCTGGGGTTTTTCGAACAATCTGTTGTCTTACATGTATGACGTGTCAATATTGTATGTCTGTTCGGATATATTTTATCGCCCACCAAAAACAGCAGAGAACCATACGCGTTTCCCGAAAAACACAGTACATCTTTTTATGTTATAATTCCAAAATTGTGTCTTACCTTAATTTAGTAAAGAAAAATAAAAAAAAAATCGTTAACAGGGTACTCTACAAACGGTGAACTTGAAAATCACGGGAAATGGGATAAGCAAGTTACACAATATAAATATTAAACCCGCCGCAGGGCAGTGCTTTTGAAATATTAATGTCCTTCGTTTTCACAATTAAATCTTTGTATCCGCAACTGCTCCCTAACCGAACTAAATAGTGTGATTTTTTCAACAATTTCTTCTCGTCTGACATACCTTTGCACCTTTAATCCCTTTTAATCAACGGATTGATTTTGCAGATAAAATTTGTGTGACCGTCATAAGTGCACCATATCGTACAATTTCAGGAAAACTGTACCGGTCTCGGATCATGAGTTACTGATCTTGCTTCGAGCAGTCCAGCCCCACCTATGTTCATGGTAGAGTGTTATCGACACCGTGAAAAAAAAACTCGTCCATACTCAAATGACTCCCAAGATCTCTATAAAAGCAAACAACTCAGAATCCGGTAGTCTTTTTTTACCTGCGTCGCTGAAGGCGAAAGCAGGTCTAGTAACCGCTCGACCCTGTCTGTCCGTCCATCCGTGCGTCCATCCGTCCGTCCATCAGTGCGAAAGACCTTTGGTAGAAAACTTTCCTCAAAATATTTTTTCTTGGTTTCTATTGAAGGGAATGATTTTATATTTAGTCTGTAGCTTAATAATTACGAGTTGCAGCGTGTAAGCTATTTTTACATCTGTCGTGCAGCCAATCTCCGGCGCAGAGTTCATATCCGTTCCGTTCCATACTACGTAACACTACACAAATATTAAGTGTAGTATGGCGGAGCATGTACGGAACGGATATGAACTCTGCGCAGGAGATTGCCGTGCAGCTACTTCCTGTTTGCAGATAGTTTGAAATTTGACAATTTTCACTGCACAAGAAAAATTTCGTTGCTTGTATTAAAAGGTATGATTTCATATTTGGTCTGCAGCTTCATAATGATGAGAAGTAGCGTGTATGCAATTTTTACATCAGCCATGCAGCCGCTACATGTTTTCCAGTAGTTTAAAATTTTACAATACTCATTGTAAAATGAGAATTCTCGTCAAATTTTTCTTGCCTTCAATGAACGGGAATGATCAGGTATGCTTCAGTAAACATCCAACGTCAATAAATAACATTAAGCGACGCAGGGACAGACCCGGTATTGGTCTTATTTAATTTGAAAAGATAGATTGTAAAATTCCAACTATTTTAGTACACCTATTTTACATTCCAACAGAGTCTGACGAATAGTTTAAATTATATATTCAACACAAAGATGTTCATTGATAGTAGTGTTTTTTTTCGTATATTTTTGATTTTTTTAAAACCAAAAAAGTGGACAAAAGTATTTGACCAATTCAATAAAAAAATAAAAGATAATAAAAATATCCCGAACGGCAAGTATAATGCCATGAAGAATAAACAATTCTTAAACACCCACCCGCTGGATCCCCTCATTCTCTTTTAAAGAATGGAAAATGTATGTCTTAGCATAGAAATTTAACATTGTAAACATGCTCCTTAATTGATCGCCCAATTCTTAACACCAAGTCTTGCTGAAAATAATTTTGAAATGTCTTGACCTAGCCAACGTCAATTGCGATTTTTTTTTTTCATGTCGCGTGTACAATTTATTAAATTGTGTTTTGTCCATTCTATCATACGCCGTACATTTACAGCATGTTCAACCTGGGTAACACCATGTGCAATAATTAATGTGTAAACATTACAACTTATATTTCTTTAAAATCCCCGTTGTTCAGCTGTATAAAATTATCATACGAGTTAGACTTTTTTTTAGAACGACGGTTTATAATTACACTTTGAGACGACCCAAGATATAAATGCTACCTGTAAGTGTAATTGTTATCCTAATCGTAGGTGTATGACAGTTTCCGCAAATGTCTATTTACATGACTTTTAGTTTACCCTTGTTTACCTCTGTTGCATCTTCAAAAAAATGATGTTGAACACTAATATACAGTATTTGTCTTTGTAAAGTGTCTGCTTGATTCTATATCTCTTTTCAAATCTCGAATGTTGTATCGTCAGTTGAAGATTCATTTTGTGATCTTACTATGTTATCTCTCAAAAGTTCTACCTCTCCAGGACATACAGTGAATAATATGCACACATGCCGTGGGTTCACTGGCATCTCACAGGGGTTAAACTTTTACAGGGATTTCTTCTGGTACTTAGGCCTAAGAAGAAATTCAGTACTTTCATTTTAGAAAGCTTAAACACTGATGCCTCTTATACATGGCTGTCTTGACTGTACTAATGAGTAGACAGTGCATCAATTGTCTCCTACTGTACAGACTGAAATTATATTCATGTGAACAGAGGATATTAATAAATTACAAAAGTAAAACAAAAAATATTTATCTGAAAGAACATATCATGGCAAACCATAGGAGCATAATTGAACTGATGCCATACAACTTTCTCTCTGAAAAAAACGGATTTTGGATAGCCAATTATCCGGATACCTATGCTGAGGTAATTTCTCAAATCCAACGAGAATTCTCAAGAGGATATGAAGGCAAAGATCGAGGTATTCGAGTTTATCAACAGAGTAGGAAACAACAATAATGCAGGAAGATTGGATAATTGGTTGGAAATGCCCCAAAGAAATGGCTAAGAGAACACAAGAGGAGGAAGTTGAGCAAGAACCAACAATCCCCAAACGAGACCAACTATTTATGAGGGATTGGCTTTACAACAACTTACGTTAGGATTAAGAGACTCAACTTCCATATTCAAACTGGATCTTGGTGTATCAATCAACCAGAAAGACAATGTTCTGAATGATCACAAGATTCGGATGCTTTGATTAGAAGAATGACTGCACTTGTAAATGTAAAATACATTGGTGTGCATTCCTACTCTACCACGATAGACGGGGAGTTGAGGTCAGTCATAACAGCAGGAGTGGCTAGAAAAATTTATCACCGAGAAGTATATTGCAGGCATCAAAACTGATGAATTATTTCTAGGAAAACAACAACCAACAACCAGTCCAAATCCATTATCGCCTTCAACATCAGGAATATTGTTAGAGGATGACAGCGAGGAGAATGAGGAACAAGAAGAAAATAAGAAAGTAACCAATCCGGAGAAAAATAAGAAGACAGACATTGAAGGACAGAGATATTGCTTTTTCGAGTGTTGATCAATTTTAAAAGAAGTATGCCGTTGTAATATATATTCAAATAAGTAAATAAGTAAATACCAGGTCAAACGTTACAACAAAATGAAATTTACAACATTTTCAGCAATTTTTCATCTTTGGCAATAGTTTAAAAGTTCCTTTCTTTCTTTCTTACTTACGCCTGACTCGCGTTTCGTCTACTAAAGTCTCATTGGTGACGCTCCAATAAAACAAGTTAAAAGGCAAAATAAAGTACGAAGTTGAGGAATATTGAGGACCCAAAATTACCAAAGGTTTTGTTAAATACAGTTAAGGCAATTTATTCCTGGTGTAGAAAATCTTTAGTATTTCGAAGAAATGAAAAGGAGTTCACCATAAGTCTGTCACTCAAGTATATTATACATACACAAAGTACTACCTTTACTTATTTTTGCAAGCTTATGTGCAAATAATGTTTTGTTAATGTGAAGCGGAAACAAACAACCCTTTGTACAAACCAGGAAAACTGACACTTAATGAAAGTAATCTAATTTTAACATGTGATGTTTGATATAAATTCATAACAAACAATGTTTTTATATTGACAATTACATAGTTAAAAACATAGGAATGTGAAAAAAGTTACTATTTTCCTTGACAACTTTTCTCGATGACATTATATTTTTTTCTTAACACTAATTATTTGTATATTAAACACCTTTTTAGCATTAACCACCCAACATATGCAATAAAAAGCAACGTATATTATACCCTAAAGTCTTTATTGTATAATTTGATTTGAAATTTCTTTGCATTCTTTTTCGTTACATAATGAGTAAAAACCCAGCTCAATGTCTTCATATCGGTACTGAACCAAAAAAGCCAGCTTCTCCATTCATGCATTTGGAATAGATACTCAGAGCTTTCTTTTCATCTATTTCCTGCTTTGAGAAAGCAGCATTCACACGGACCTCCAACTTCTTATATCCTTCAGAAGAAGGATTAAAATTTGAATTGACCCAGTCAGTGTATGCCCCAAAATCATCTTACAAATAAAAAGAAAGTATAAATTGTAATGCATGATTTTGATAATGTTTAAATGATATTTTGATAATATAGGAAACATTATCATGTGATACGACATTCCACATTAAATTGTTATAATGATAAAATTTAATAGTATATTTTATCGTAAGTAATAATTACAATGTAAACATAGAAAGCCTTTTTTTCTTTTCATAAGGCAGTATAATTCAATGTAAATTGGCGGATGTAGAAAAAAATAAAGAAAATCATTATTTAATGACATAACTATGTACGCGTACATCGATAGTGTATGATAGAAACAATGGAAGCGATTTTTAAGAGCAGTAAATGGGGAAAAAACCCATTAAAATTCAAGTATGCATTTTCAATTTGATAACTCTGAAAGGAGGAAAATAAATTATTCCAATATAAGATAATTTCTGGATGCATAATATTATACACATGAAGCAATAGGACATCATCAAATTATTGAAGAAAAGATTTTTCAATCAGCCCTTATGATACTTTAACACTATTTATAGCAACAAGATCAAGGAGCAAAGTCATGTCTATTGTTATAAAAAGGTCTCTACTATGTCTAAGATGAATTTTGTTTTTTTACCTAAAAAGGGTTTTAGTATAAACAAATTTGCAAAGTGTTATTTTCAAATTGACTATATATCAACTTTAAAGCAACCAATATCGGCTACTTATACCGTTTATCACAATCTGTTTGAAATAATAAGAATCTTTCTGCGTCTTTTCTTCTTTCAAAAAACTTATTTTCGACAAAGAAAGATTCCAGACTATCGCATTATAATTGATACTTATTTCATACATATAATATAATAATTGATTTGCATGATGTTTTCTCTAGAAGTTTCTTTTCGGTGGATTAAATTTTCTAGATATAAACTAAAGCACCAAAGAATGACAGAGAGTTCACGTATACGTTAAAATATGTCATATGAATAAAAGGAGATGTAGGGTATACATCAATCAGTTTATTTAATATAGAAATAAAAATGAAAAAGTAAACTGTAAACTTAATAGTAGGAATACACCTTACATACCTTTGCTGCAGTCAGTTGTTGTCCAAGCCATGGCCACAAACGTGCACATGGAATCAATGCCACTAACATGTAATATGCATCATCCTTAGATGCCACATCCGCCACAGTATCAACATATTCTTGACATTCTTTTCCCAAGTAGATGGCCTCTCCATCTCTTATATGCCATTTGTCAAATAAATCTTCGTAATAGCTGTAATAAAAGCGATTTTAAAGGTAGCTTGCCATGCCACTAAGATATGACAAGTTGCGGTATAAACAAGTAAACATGGATATGAAAATAACAGAATTTTCGTGAATTTAGAATTGAGTGGGATATCTTAAAACTTAACAAATGTTTGCATTTTTTAAAACATTAAATAAAAGCCATCACCTGTACTAAGTGAAATGAGACCTTTTGCTCTAAAATTAGGTAACAAAGTTACATGAGCAACACGACGGGTGACTCTTGTTGAGACCACCCCGGTATTTGATTAGGTTCGTCTTGCTCAGTCTTTTGTTTTCTGTGTTGTGTTTTGTGTACTGTTGTTTGTCTTTTGGTCGTGTTTCTTATTTGGCCATGGCGTTTTCAGTTTGTTTTCGACTTAAGAGTGTGAATATCCCTTCGTTATCTTTCATCTCTCTCTTTTACAAAGTAAGGAGATACGAAAGGGCAATTTAAAGTTTATTTGTATTTGGTTCAAGACAGGACAGAAATGTTTGGCAAATCCCTGTGTTCAACCTGTTTATAAGCATCGTGAAAATATTATATTTAAAAAAACTATATATTATATATATAATAGTTGTTCCATATTTGCTTAAAAAATCAGACTAATAGCAAAGTAATAATTTTTTATGAAAAGTTAAAGCTAAAGTTAAGCATACATATAATAATACCTTTTGTAATCACTCGATTCATGTTCTAAAAATATTTTTAATGGACTCATTTCTGCTCGTTTCGCAGCCACTGAAAGAGGTTCGTGTGCTTTTAGGCAACAAACTGCATCTTGCATCATGTAAGCCCCTAAAAAGAAATTACACTTAAAACAAAAGAAGAAAACAAAACATTGACAATTGTAAATTCCCATGACAAAGACCACAACTTTCAGTTATAAGAGGACATTTCATGAAGATATACACAAACTGTTTATGTCATAGAGTATTCGAATCCCTAAAGCCTAAAATATGTATAAACCTGCATATACTCGTTTTCTATTTTTGTTTGCTTATTTTTCAATACAGCTTTATATTTAGCATTGTTGTTCTAGGTTCGTTTTATTTTTATTATGTCATTTTTGTGTAGGGTTACTGCGCATAATATACTCATTTGGGATATATCTTGTGGAAGGCATTGAGTTCTCCTGTCAACAGAATTTTGGTACGCCAGACGCGCGTTACGTCTATATAAGACTCATTAGTTACGCTCGAATTAAAATCAGATGTAAGGCCAAATCGAATGAAAAAATGAAGAGCAATAAAAATTCTGAAAAAGGTGTGCAAAAAACGACCAAGGTAATACATGCCTGGAGTAGAGAAACCTTAATGTTTCCGATAGTTCAACATCTAATAAACAGTAAATTTACAGAAAAATATCATGATATTTTATGTCAACACAAAAGTACTGATTGCTGTGCTGATGATACCTCGTGACTAAACGTCTACCACAGTGACATCGTCCCAGTAGTTGTTAAAACTGTTCAAATATGCCCGGTTTATAGTTTTTGGAACGCCAGACACTTCGGTCTAAATAAAAAAATCAGTTATCTTACATTAAATCTGCCAAAAAACATTGATTTATGATTTATTTTTTCTGAAAATCCATCATAACAAATTCAGCAATAAAATTACGATACGTGTTGCTTGCATACGTATACGTGATAGCTGGAAATTTTGTGTATGTCCAGTGTGCAGATTTTACCATTTATAATTGAACTGCAAATCAGGCAAAATTGATGTCCGTATACAACTTTGGTCTCAACCTGCAAAATTCTGCTAATTTCAGTGAGGAATGAATGCTAGGCAAATTTCAAGAAAAAAGAATTAAATTCAGTGAATCCGAACATTGTCTTCACTCATACTTACCACAAAATTTCAAAATATTTTTGTTTGCATATGCATAACCAGAATTTCCCTCTTATTGGTCAAATATGTTATTTTGTTACATAACCAAGAACGAACAACATTCGATGTGTTTCTTTTTTCGTGCTCTTCTAGTTCTATCTGTCATGTTGCTCATGACAAGTAAAGGTCGGTAATAAGTCAGATTGAGTGATAACATGAACGACAAATAAAGGACGGGATTGTAGCAACGACAGTAAGAACATACCCATCAGTATCTCTGACATAGATATTCAATAACTATCCAATAATGCTGACGTTCGTTAAAATTTCTTAGAGATGACCCTATACTTTACCAACAGTAAACATTGGTGCAATAGCTTCCTTAAAAAAGGCATACAATATATATATGCACACAGACGTTTATTTGCATGATCTATTACAAATTTGAAAAGAAATATCCCTTTTTTGTATAAGATTATTGCGAAGGAAATAAAACATTTCCCCAGAACCAACCGGTGTCCTCCTGCACGTAAACCCTTGCAAAGTGAACTTTCCAATTGAACAAATACAGTTGCCATTTTCAAAACGTAACCTTAGATCTAACCAGTTGTTTTACTTGTACGTCATAAAAAGGAATAATTAACTTATGATATGTTTAAGTTCCAAAATTTTGTGAGAATGGTACAATCGCCATACTATTATTACATCATATGTCAGGAAATACACCGTGCGTTACTCGAATTAAATATACATAACACTCTATAAATTTCCTGCGCCAGAGGTTTACCTTACCAAAAGATGTTGGATGTAGCATTCCATCTTTAACACCTTGAACAAAGTTGGTGTTTAATGCTTTCATCCTTGTGTCTTTGGTTTCTGTCCACAGCCATTCACAGAAACCGTAGTCATTGCATGGTTTGTCGGAAAGTGTACATTGTAGAAGTTTACAGACGGCAGCGTCACTGACACACCTTGGACTGGCTTTCCACATGACTTATAATTAGCACAATAGCGTTGATTTGCGAAACTGAATGGATTGTGGAAAATATACAATTAGACGATGTATAACTCAAATATTTTGATATTAGAATGGTAAAAACCAAAATCTACATATTCAATATGTTAACGCTCCATTTTGTTTCTTCTATATATATATATATATATATATAAACACTTAAACATGTTAAAGTGTTGAGGCAATCGGTAATAAATAGACTACGGAACTTTCTTAACATCATGAAGTAATCCAAAATTGAATCAATTCTCCATATGAATCAATACCATTTATTTTTTTCAAAGAATGTAGAAAATTGACATACCAGTTTAAAAAAATCATATGTGTCAATTGCCTAGTATTTTTTAAGATTTAAACAATTCTCTTAAAAATGTGGAGAAAATAGTTTGAAATTCCTTTAAACATTTCAAAATCACAAAACGGCACTCCAAACTTATATAAATTGTACAGATTCAAAGAGAAATTACATATCATCAACATTATGCTCTGTTGAACAGCCTTACTAAGAAATTTGTGCAAAAACTATAGGAATTTCCTTTATGTCATTTACCTGACTACATTTGTTCCATTTCGTAAATTTTTCTTCAAAACACGGATGTAATTTGTTCTTCAATAAATTTGCATAATTGTTCTTTTCAATCTAATATATTTATATTGATAATAATAATTTCATTCCAATTTCGTCACAATATGTCAATAAGAATAGCAACTGATTTCGGATAAACATTTTCGCAAACAATACGTTAGAAAATAGTATAATGAATATGCGCTAAAAATACAACATGAAATTGGCATGAAGTTCGCGATCGATTTCTCGAAGAAATGTATGAGAAATATCTGGTAAATTTAGTGCATGTTTTTACAGAAAAATGAAGAATTAGAATAACAATTTTTGATGATCAAACAAAGCACTCGATCCCCTCCTCCACCTCCCCCACACACAAGTATTTATCCCTCATTCGTTTTTATATAATAACTATCAGTTGTACTACATACATTAACATTTAATTTTTTAAATGTTTAACTGAATACTTAGTACATGTACCTCTAACACAATATATAAATATCCTTACCTTCTCTAAACAAGTTTACAGACTGGGAATATATTCCAATCCTTTTGTATGCATACACTTGTAGGAAATGAGACTCATATCCAACTTAGGTAGGGTAACTTTCATTTTCCTAAGAAATATTATAATTCCTTCCGAAGAAATGTCAATTTTCTACAAAGTGATGTAAGCAAAATCCGTTAACAGGATTCATAAAAGTGCATTTTAAGAGGATGTTTTGACGAGCTAAACATGAATACTTGAAAATGTCAAGGTCCAAATCTTCGTCGTCTTGTGGTTTATTGTACATGTATAAATAAAACTCGGTCTTAAGTGATATGTTATACTTCTTGGTCTAAAGGCTTACTATTCATTTTTTGACTGAGGAAAGAATAATAGCAGAAAAAAATAGGATATATTTTTTTAATGAAAATAAGTCGTTAAAAGATTCGAATGTCCAGTTTCGTCCAATATGCTTGTTATTGTACAAGTTGTAGCATTGTCCGTCTAAAAATAGCATATCTATCACGTCGGTCTTTGTGTACACTCAAACAGGTAGATGCAAGGAACTACAATAGAAAAAATATACATTTAGAAAAAAAAAAATAGAAGATTGGTATGATTGCCATGGATTCATATACGGAATCACTATGCTTTCAATTCTTCTGTGTATAGATATAATTTAACATAGGATAATATGATAGCTATGAAATATAAAATACAATAAAATAATCATAGTTACAAACACACATTTTAAATTTGCAAATCACTCATAAGCAAACTTAGCGAAAACATTTTGAAAAGACACAGTGTCAAGTAAATATCTAAAAGTTGCAGAAGAGAATCAATGCAAATAACCAACTTTTCAAACTGTATGCTTCTTTGTAAGTTTGAAGAAAACAGTTTTTTGGGGATGGGAATGTATGTATAAGCTTCGTGTCTTTGATGACTTTTTTCATAACTTATATTTTGCACGCCCAAGTTCAGATCCCAGACTTTCACCCACCTTTAATCTTGCATATAAAGTAGGTCATTCGGACCTAGAGTTTACGCTAATAAATTTAAATTGAGATTGATCTCTAAATTCAGGCTTCAGATACTATATGGTATCTACAATTATAATAATTCATGTCAGATGCTTTTAGGAAAGTATGGCAGCCTCTCATAAAAAGTAAGAAACTTTAAAAAAAAATGGCGCCAAGGAAGATATTGAACCAAGGGTTCCAAGTGGTAAAGTTCAAGTTATCCATTCGAAGGTTTTACCGTTGCCATCACGCGTAGATTGACGTTTATGGAATATCTGTGTCATAGATGACCATGGATATGTTCCAATTGTCGGAATCACAGTCATTTCCTTTTTATCTCGATTGTAACATCACCGCATGAGACATCACCAAATTTGTATTTACATTGAGTAACATGATGAATGCTTCTAGTTGAACAGGATCTGCTTATTACACTTCGGAGTTTTAGTTTAAACATATCTTATTGCATAAGCACAAATTGGAAAAGACACAAGTCAAACAGACTTATGAAGTCTTCTCCATTTAACCTATTTAACAATACAATATATAAGAGCATGCATACATTACATATCATTTCAGCATTTGTATAAATTGGACAGAAAATTAAAGTGGCACAAAAGAAGAGGAAAAAAAAAAAAAAAAAAAAGAAAGATAGACAGAACATAAAAATCAACAACGAAATAAAAAAAAAATAATAAAAATAAAGATAAATGAACTTAGATGATGTGTGCGGTCATGTTTTACTATCTAAACAATAAGGAATCTGTTCGACCTTCTAATAAACTCAAACGCATTCTTAAAATATTTTCATTTTTCTCCTGAGTAAGTAGACAATTACCAGAGGTTAATAGTTGTATATTTAAT